ATAGACAGAAGCAATCTTTGCCAAGAAAGGGAAGTTAGAGAAGGGGAGGAGAAAGGAAGAAAAGCTTAGCCAAAGTAAATAGAAGCCATTAGGGTTTCTTGAAGATTGGTGATTTCCGGCAGCTATAAATTGAGCCTTCCCCTACCCAACAAACTCAACTCATAACCTGCAGAGAGCAAGCTTTTCTCTCTATCTTGCAAAACTCAGACTCGTGCACTGTTCATCTTCTTCTCCAATTTGTTTTTCTGGCAGCTGCCAGAAGAACTCTGCCTTTCTTTTTCCTTTTTCCCTAGTCGAATTCCTCACAAAACACCTCATTCCTTACTTAAACACTTTCTTTTCTCATAAACCAAGCCTAATTTCTCTCTTAGTGCTAAACCCATGTTGATTTTGCTCCCATGCCACATGCCACTCATGCTGAGCTGAAAAGACTATCTGTAAGCATGCCAAAACTATCTGCAAGTTACCATTATTCTCGTTGGTGAAGATAACCAAAATACTTCCTAAGGCTCTACTGCCTTTTCGAGGTATTTTGGGGCTTAATTTTCGAACTCAGGCTCAATGGGCAATTTCTTCCATTTTGCCCTTTACGACAGTCAGGCCCGTAGTAGCTGCCGGAAGAAAAAAGCCCCTACAGTTTTCATGTCTATTTCAATTATCATGGCACTGTGCCTTGCAATTTCCTCCAATTTTTTTGATGTATTATTGCTAGAATTACTCCATCTCTTTGCTTTCGTAGCCTTTCGGCCAATAGGCCTCGACTCCTTTTCGATGGGTGAGTCTTGACTCATCGAGGAATCCAAAGGCGAATCTGATATTGGTGAATCATGGAGTGACATCTCGTTTAATACAACGGCCAGACCCGTGTAAATAAGTCTAAAATGTTTGCAATTTTTCACCACCTCCCAACATTCTTGATGGTTGAAAGATTTTTTGCCTTGCCCAATTGCACCAAATCACATTTGTGCTTGAATAATCTATTAACAAAAAAATAATGGAAATGCAAGACACATTAATAAAATATGGATAATACAAGAAATATTTAAAATATATTGGAAATGCAAGTAACATTAAAAAAAAAAAAATTGAAATGCAAGAAACATAAAAAAAAAATGAAAATGCAATTAACATTACAAAAATATTGGAAATGCAAGACAAATTAATAAAATATTGAAAATGCAAGAATTATTTAAAATATATTGGAAATGCAAGAAAATTAAAAAATTAAAAAATTTAGGACATTACATTTAATAAAATGGAAATTACAAATAATTTACCTCCTCGCTAAGATTTTCACCACTTGGAACATTGTCCCTCACTTTTGCTAATACATCTCTCTATTTCCCCAACTCTTTATTCAATATTTTCCACCTACTACTTAATGCCATTTTCGTACAACTAGAACCCGATCTTTCACAAAATTTGACATGGATTTTTCTCCACATGTGAGAGAATTTAATCTTATTGCCCGTGACCGGACAATGACTAACATGGACCCAACTCTCACTCAAGAGAACATCTTCCATGGTTGCCCACGTGCCCCCGGCTTCGATGGAAGATGCCATGAGATGGTGAATAAAAATGAAAATTGGAAGTGATGAAAATTTTGTGTAGAAAGTGAAAAACAATAGAATTTATGAAATTGTATGAGGATTTGGTGTTGAAAGTGAAGAAGAATGGTAGGTATTTGTAGGAAAAAAATTCAGAATTTTTTTATATATATATTTTTTTTAAATTCGAATTTTTTCCACTTTTTTTTTTGGCCCAAAAAAGCCCAGCTGTTGGATTGGAAAAAAAAAAAGGCATCGGCGCAACCAGAACGCAACACGTGGCAAGATACTGTTGGTCTAGTCAGCGCGCGGTAATTCAAATTTTTTTACTCACCAACAGCCTGATGTCACCTCACCTCGAGCTGTTCCTTCCCTTGGGCTGGCCCAGTCACGTAGGACCCGCGCCTTGCCCGGGCTGTCTTGGGCCCCCGGAACGTGCTGCCGGGGCTCAGGCCCTGTCCTGCCCGGGCTTGGGTTTGTTGCAGGAGTTGCTCTTATGCGCATTACATGTTGTTGTCCAATGTTGGAGCCGAGCCGAGCCAATGAAACATAATGGCTGGCGTGTTGCAGGCACTAACTAAGTCAAGTCTCCGGCTCGTAACGCAAGCTCGTCGTCGTACGCTCGTATTTTGTCCAATTTGAAACTCACCGTTTTTCTCTCTCACTCTCACTCCCAAACTCAGCCAAAAACCCCAAAACACACAGACGCGCACGCATGCACCTCTTCCCAGCCGGCACACAACCGTCGCATTTCAAAACCGACCGCCACACGCACACCGCAGCCAATCAACACCCGCCATCTCATCTCTCATGGACTTCGTCGCCGGCTCTCCTTCACCGGTGACGGCACCCCGGCCCCCCTCCAAAACGGCGTCGGTTCCGGTTTGCGAGGACTGCTGGAGCGAGGACGCGACCTTCACGCTCATAGAGGCCTGGGGAGAGCGCCACCTCAGCCTCAACCGCGGCAACCTCCGTCAAAAGCACTGGGAAGAAGTCGCCGACGCCGTCAACGCCTCCCACGTCACTGCCGACAACCCCAGGTCCCGCCGTACAGACGTCCAGTGTAAGAACCGCGTCGACACCCTCAAGAAGAAGTACAAGATCGAGAAGGCTAGGGTTTCCGACTCCAATGGCGACTACACCAGCCCCTGGCCCTTCTTCTCTCTCCTCGACTCCCTCATCGGCTCCAAATTCCCCAAGCCCTCGCCGCCGCTCCCTCGCCGGAGCCCTCCCTCGCCGCCGCTGCAGTGGACTTTTCCAGTAGCTCGGAGATCGGCAACAGTCAAACGGCCGGCGCCGGCGTTTTTTCCGGCACCTGGAGACGAACCGGTGTTGAGTCAAAAATTGGATTTCTCGGCGTTTGCGGCGGTAGCTGCGGCAGCGGCGGCGGAGAGCGAAGAGTCCGAGGGGTCGCCGTCGAGGTCGAGCGTGGGAGGGAGTAGGATGAGGGACCGTGATAGGGAGGTTGGTTGTGTGGAATTGGCTATGGCCATAGAGAGGTTTGCGGAGATATACGAGAGAGTAGAGCAGAGGAAACAGAGGCAGATGGTGGAGTTGGAGAAGCAGAGGATGCAATTTGCTAAGGACTTGGAGTACCATAGAATGCAGCTTTTCATGGAAACAACGAAGCATCAGCTTCGAAAGATAAAGCGCGCCAAGCGGTCATCTTCATCCCCTGGTCGGTGAGCCTCTTCCTCTGAAATTTCTGCTCCATCTTTACCATTTTTCACTTTCGCACGATTAACTTGTTTGCCTCTTTATTACAATTTTACAAATAGTTGCATATGGCATTTTATGGTACTGTCTACTTGACTGATGAATGAGATTCGATTGTTCAATTGTTCAATTTTACAAATACTTTTTTATTGTGAGGAAATTTTTACAAATAGTTGCATATGGCATACGGCAAATTCTTTTTTGGTAAGGCTGACTTGAGAACCACAGATTTGAACTTTTCATATGATTTTGTATAGAATCCATGACATGTATAGGTTTTGTCTCTTTCTTATTGTTTATTAAAAACAGGCTGTGATTTATTGATCAGTAGATCATTCTATTGTTTTTATATTGCCTTCTTTGGCTTCCTTCTTCATTTTGGTGTTGAACCATACTATAGGTAAAGAGTATTACGGCATCAAGGGGAAAAGGCTTTGTTTTACTTTTATGGTGGAGAAGTTTAACAAAGAGAACACTGAAAACTTTAGGGTAATTTCCTTAGAAAAAAGAAGAGGGAGAACTCTTACATTGATAAATTAACCATTCACAATTGTCATATTCCTTGTCAAGTCCTATTTTTGTAACATTAAAACTCTTATTCTTAAAAGTAAATTCAAATTAATATAGCAGGACAGAGGCATGATTTAAGTTTTGGAATGAAATGCATTTATGTCCACCCATACCCAGTGTACGTTTGGAGAATAATTTCCTAGACCTACAAGATGAGAAAATGGGGGAAATGAGTCATCAGTCGAGAAAGTCATTTAACATCTTGTGCTCGTTTCCAACTTTGTGAACAAAAGGTCAATTATTCTGGTAGTTAGGTTTGGTGAGACAATATGCAACCTTGCATGTATAGATAGCTTGGATAAAAATTGTCAAAGAAATGGAAGTATGAGGTAGAACGAGCTACATATTCCAGAGGTAATGAAACTGTCAGCGAAAAGGGTTAAATGAAACAAAGAAAGCTTATTAGTATCCCCAGAAGTTGAGTCCATAGTAGTTTGCTATAGGTTTGGCCTTCCTATAGTAATAACGTCCGTAATGGTTTGCTATAGGGAAGTGATTGCAATTTCAGTAAGGGTCAGGTAAAATCCTCTCTTTGGAAACTTTAAGATGGCCCACCTTATTTATTTATTTATTTCATTTAATAAAGAGTATCTGCAATGACAAGGAGATGGAGTGTTGCTTGACTTGGTTGAAGGACGAGCAGAACCCACTCTTATATAGTTGATAATGTCATGCAGACAAATCTATTTCGACTGAAATGATTGTCAAAGTAGTCATTGTCTTATCAAATACATGCATGGGTATTAACCTAAAAACTTAAATATTTAATGTCTAGAACAGAACCCTCATATTATCAATAAGATGCTTTAATTAGTGTCACTGTCGTAGTAAGAAGGGATAGTGTGCTTGTAAGTTTGATCTATTTGGGTATTATAAATTGCTGCTTTTATCTTAGTTAAATGTTTAGTGTTCTCGATGTTTTCTTTTCTGCTTTTCCTATAAAATGTTCTTGGTGACAAACTGACAATGGCCAGAAAAGTTTTGGAATTTGATTAAAAGAAGTCAATGTTTATGCAGCATTGATGTAGGGGCTGAATTACGAAAAAATATGCCTGCAGGTTTCATGTCCCAAATATTGATGTTTCATTCAGCGAACGGCGATACAAGAATTGATCAATTAGTCTTGAGTACATTGGTGGGAGGAGGGTAGAGGTAACATTCGTTTGGGATAGGATCATTGATGGTGAAAGCTGGTCTTACTTTTTGTAACTCAAGTAAATAGTAAAGGCATGCGCCCCATAAGGAGCAATATGGTTTAATTTGAATGTGTTAGGCTTGGGGAAGGAAAAAGTAGTTTTGGTTGAAACAGCAAAAATGTAGCCACACTTACTAAGAAATGAATCTTGTGGGTGACATGAAATAAAATTAGTTTTGGATGAACATGTTAGTGCATCACTAATCTCTGTTAGGAATCTTTGTTTCCTGACTGTTAACCAGATGAGCACCAGTCACCCAAAAATGTTAAAAACCTAGGAGAACATATATCTAACAGTCAATTTGATCCATTTTCTCGCAATGCACTTTTTACTGGTAGTGTCTTTGTTACTCGTGTTCTGAATTTTGAAGCAGTTCTTATAATTGCACAAAATTGTAAGGAATATGAGATCCTAACAGTCTTACATTTTTGTTTTTCATGTAACAGACAATTACTTATAGGCGACGAGGTTTGATAGTCACCGGCTAGTGTGATTTGCCTCTTTTTGAAAGGTACAGATCGATTCTAACTTATGGAAGGAAATGCATACGGTTTTACCTTATTTTGGGTACGAGGATTTACTAGAAGTTACTTGGACAGAGAATTAGAAGGAAATGCATATGGTTTTACCTTATTTTGGGTACAAGGATTTACTAGAAGTTACTCGGTAGTGATGAGACAATTGTTGCTTGTAATACCCCCTTCTTGTGAAGTAAATTAGTTGCCTTCTCACTTTTGGGAACCCTGGAAAAGCATATCCGTGATAGAGCCAAGTACATAATCTCTGTCTCTGTGTGTGTCTCTCTCTCTCATCATGTATTCTTAATCCGGATAGTCATGAAAAGTATTTATACATAACCAGTGTCATTTTTTTCTTTTTGGTCAAACAGTGTCATTTTTCTTTTTCAATGGAAGTAGCAGTGGAGTTTTTTTTTTTTGGTCAACTAGCAGTGGAGTTTGAAAAGGTCGGTTTGTCACATCATATTGCACCAACAGTTACTTTATTACGAATCCCACATCATATATTTTTAATTCTACATGCCTTTCTGATCGAAAATCATTTTTTCCTGCTTTGGAATTCTTAACAACCGTTTTCGGCACAATAAAATTTGTACATTTTTGTATTGTCCCCGAAGAAATTTAAGGATAAGATATGTTCTATTTTTACTATTTCATTCTGGTCCCACCTTTATACTACCTCTCAGCTCGATCCATTCAAAGGGTCCCTTCCTGGCTTAAGTGCGATCTTGGTGCTCTTAACCTCAGACAGCTGGCTGCTGTACAAATGAAAAATTGACTTGGAGGCTAATTTGGTTAAATCGCAGCTGATCTACCTCTGCACTCGAGGTCATAGGTTCAATTACCCTCTCCCACAATATCGCGTGTATAAAAAATAAAAATCATAGCCAATCTACACTTTATGTTTCTCTCTAGTATGACCCCAGAAAAGAAAAAAAAAGTATAAAAAAAAAAAAGGAGTTTAGCTCTAGTATTAAGCTCAGCATTATTGATTCTTCTTTTGGGCCTTACAACATTTGTTGTTATGACATAACATATTCATGCCCTCCAATTAGTAGACTTCATAAAATAGGGTATCGAAAAATATAAGAATGGTCAAGTGCAAACTACTTGTATTATCTACTTATTTCTCTTGCCAGTGTCGAAATAGTGTCGAAAAATGTTCCAAGTTAGACTTCCCTTGACGAAAGAAAGTACAAACCATTTATATAATTTTATATGCATGGAATATTCATTGAGACTATTATTTCGAGGTCCATTTGACAATGCGATCCATAAACATTTTTTAAAATTTTTTTCAAAAAACCTTTTAAAGGAAAAGGATTACGCTTGCAGAAATATCAGCCGCAATTGTGATAAAAAGGACAGTTGAATACAAATATTGGATATTTCGACAAAAAAAAAGAAGCACAAATATTGGATAAAACATTTCATTATCATGAGCATAATTAAATGAAGAAATCTTTTCATATCTTCTACTTCCTTGATGATTCTTGAAGGAATAGTTAATTCACTTCTTGTAGTTGAGGTGAGTAGGGGTTGAATTGGTTCGATAACCGAACCGATGGGCCACTACTGATGACCGATTGAGGGTAGTTGGTTTCCCAAAATTGAAACCATTGTTGACCAATTTGCTGTCGGTCCTCCGACTATCGATAATACCGCAAGTAGTGATTGAGCTAGTTTGGTGGTGGGCCTACCGAAACAAACAGATTGGACTTTTTTGACCCAATTTTTTTAGCCCACTTCACATTTTCTAGGTTGTAATTTGGGATATGAATGCAGTTTTTAAGCCCAGTTTTGTTGAGCAGTGTTTTAGGCACTATTTGGACAATTGTACTGAAGCAAACATAATAAAATGAGAAATTGAAGCCAAAAACTACAATTAAACATACTCAAAACATATATTGAAGCCTAAAACTAAACATCCAAGTCCGAAGTATGACATAGTTAAACTTAAGTTACAATCCAAAAAAAGAGAGTTGAGTTTGAATTAATTTACAACCCAAACAAAAGTAGAAGTTTTAATTAGTCTACAACCCGAAGTTTTAATTAGTCTACAACTCAAACAAAAGTAGGCAATTGGCTTGAGCATTACAAATGTGATGGAGTTGGAGGAGGCAAAATGGAGTTGGAGGAGGCCACTACATGTAAAAAAAGAGGAATATGTACATATTATTAGAAGCATTAAACAATCAAAGCATAAAAAAAAATCTAAAGATAAATTATTGAAGTATCTTACTTGCTTGAATTTCTTCAAGTTCCTTTTAAAAAGGAATTTCCTCATCCGTTGGTGCCTTGTATAAGTTAAATTCGTCCACCCTAAGCCAATCATGAGTACACACTAATACCTCTACCATTTTTGGAGTCAAGGAGTTTCTAAAAGGATCCACAATCCTTTTGTACAGGCTAAAGACATTCTCACTAGCAACCATAGAGGAACGGAATGCAAATATGTCTTTGAAAACCTTGGAAATGATTGGATATCTTGATTGATTCCCTTTTCACCAATCCAAAAGGTAGAAGTTTTTGTTCCTTGGGTTTTCAAATGGATCAGCAAAGTATTTATCATCTTTAGAGAGATCTCCCTTTATTGTTCCTCCTTCCTTTGAAGTAACGTGCCCCTCAACATTTGAGAATGAGCATCATCACCATAAACCATCCGCTTCCTCTTTGTATAAGACCCAAGCTATTGACCCCTCTATACTCATTATACAAAGTGAGCAAGCAACTTTTGACTTCATCCCCAATAGCTTCAACCTTTGAAGGTTCGGCTCCAAGATTGTGGAAGCTAATCTTGAGCATGGCAAGCTTCCATCTAGGGTCTAACACATTCCCTATAAACCCTCAAAGCTGCCCCAATACTTGTCCCACTTGAGCTTCATTAAAGAAGCCACCCTTTGCAAAGTTTCATCCCCTTCATTTTTCATTTTTCTTTCAATCTCAACTTGTTACCCAACCAATTCGATAAACATGATATTGGATGTACAAGTTTTGGTGACACTAAGCTTTAGGGTGGTTTCATAAAACTTTTTAAGAAAATGCACAAAGACTTGTGCATTCTCCCAATCCGACTCGGTTGGTGGCCCAACTCTCTTCACAGGGTTCCTTTTTGCATCCTTCTCAAGCTCCTTAAAGTAAGCAATAAATAGAGCATTCTCTTCCACCATCCTAGTAAACACATTCTTATACTTAAATGTACCATCAAGCAACTTATATGTGGCATTCCACCTTGTTCCCATATCCAAATGAATGTTTACCATCGTATCCATGCTATCTAAAATAGCAAAATCCCTAAACTTATCCAACCTTAATGGTGAAGAATGTATGTACTTCACACAATTTCTCCCCTCAATTGAGCTAGAAAGCTCCTTCAACCCATCCTTCACAACCGAATTAAGAATTTGACAAGCACACCTCATATGAAAATATTTGCTGTCAAGCCATAATCTAAAATATCGATAATATTGACGAAATATCGATGATATTATCATTTTTTCAGGTCGTAGATATTTCGGAACGGATCCATACACATATCATATAAATATCGATAATATTGACGATAATATCAGAAAATATCGATATTGATAATTTCACTCACACTTTAGTAATATTTTGTCAAAATATCGCTATAATATCGAAAATATCGAAAATATTGAAATATCGATGTAATAGAAAAAAGAAAAAAAAAACACAAAGCACACATGCAAAGGGGTTTGAACCCCTGCCATTTTACTCCTCCAACGTCTTAATCACCATGTTGCTTATGTTTTTGTGAAAATACACAAAGGGGAACTCTATGTGGTACTAAGTCACTCATGTATCTTACAATGCAATATATGAAGTGTAAAATATTATAGTAAATCATTATATATAAATGATTATGATGTATTTAATCTTCTTTCATTAATTACTACATATTTTCTACATTTATAGTGTTTGTCAACTCACTATATAATCAACTTAAATCAGTTAAACCCATCATGCAATGCATTTCCTTCTAATTTTTTGTGATCAACTAATAGATAATTGATAAATAAACATTCTCCAAAGTTTTAATAAAAATTTCCAAGTTTTTCTTACAATTTAAGTGGTTTTTATTCAATTTATATTGATACCGATAATATCCCAATAATTCCATCAAAATTTCTGTGTCTTTGAACTACCGATATTTCTGATACCATCAATATTTTAGACCTTGCGTCAAGCATAAGAGTGTTAAAGGACTTCAACCTCTTGGCTATATACTCCATCACCCCATCATTTGCACTATCATTATCAACTGTAATGCTAAACAACTTCTTTATCCCCCAATAATTCAAACAAGTATCTAAACACCTCCTAATGTTATCCCCCTTGTGACTTGTGATCTTAATGAAATTTATGATCTTTTTATACAAGTTCTATTCATGATCCATGAGATGGGTGGTGACTACCATGTAGTTGATGCTTTGGATAGAGGTCCAAGTATCGGTTGTGATTCTTTAATCACCTATCACACTCATAATATTAGTCTTCTCAACTAATGACAAATCTCACACTCCCTTAGCAACCTTATTCCATTAGGGATCATGAATGTAGGTTGAAGATTATGCAAAAAATCCCTAAACCTTGACCCCTCCACCACCCTAAAAGGGAACTCATCATTGATGATGTACTTCACACATTTCATTTCCAATCTTGCTTGATTGAAGGTGTGAGGCACCAAAACACTACTAATTTCCCCTTCCCCCGTATCTTTTGTGCCAACACAGATTGATTTGCATCACATTTATGAGAGAGCTTGCATCTTCTTTCTAAGTGGATTTTTAACCCGGTTGTCCTATTTCTGTAGGATCCGCCGGCATCTTCGCTTTGCAATAATTACAAAGCCCAATTATTCTCTCAACCCCATATCATAATTCTTTCTAATTTTTGTACAGCGATCTCACACCATACTCTTATTCCATTTCCTCTTCCCTCCCAAACGAGATGATACAACTTTTTCTTCTTGGCCTTATATTTGGGATTGTGTTTGGAGTTGCCCTTGGAGTTGAATTGAATGTGTAATAATTGAGGCATTAAGTGTGTTTGATTGGCTAGAATCCATTTTCCTATCATATACCAAACAAAATC